GGCGAATTTGGTAAAAATTTTTTTTTTTTTTTTTTTTTTTTTTTTTTCCCTTGTTTTTCTTTTTTTTTTTTTTTTTTTTTTTTTTTTTTTTTTTTTTGTTAACAGTTATGAGATATGGTGGCAAACCCCAAAACTGCTACTGCGCAAGTTACTCAAGAGGTTGTTGCTAGGTAACAACAAGTGACTCAACGGTTGTTGCTAAGTAACAAGGAGTGAGTGCCTGAGTTAGTTGATGGCACACACTTTGATTAGCTAGCTGGAAGAGGTTGAGTGACCAAAGTCTTTACTCTGCCTACATCCCCCAAAATGCTGTGGGGTTCTGCATCGACTCCAGTGAAAATATTTAACATTTTATCAGCTGTTGTGTGTCTATATATATATAGTTATTGGTCTATTGCCCAGCCTTACTACACAGTAATAATGGGTTTTACGCTGCTGATGGGTGGGTTTAATGGAACAGCTGTAGGTGGTGGGGGCACTGAGTTCGCCTGGTGTCCCCTGTCTGCCCTCGGCCCTCTCCCGGCCAGCCCCGCCCCTCCTGGGAAACGTATGAAAGAATAAATGCTCCCATTGTACACAAAGGCTGCGTTTCTAGTGCTGCCGATGGTTTTCTGCGTTCATGTGTGCTTTTGTTGAGAAGCTGTTGTTTCTGCTGTGCACTGAGGTCATACAATATGAAGTAAAAACCTCTTTCGACCAATTTGGCTCATAATATTAGATAAGAGGTATTTCCTTTGTGAGAGAAGCAATAAATTGCCATGTGAACCTGAACTTGCTTCCTTTTTCAGATGGGCCCTGTGGTATTTCAAAAATGACAAGAGCAAAAGCTGGACGGAGAACTTGCGTCTCATTTCCAAGTTTGACACAGTTGAAGACTTTTGGGCGTAAGTTTCGTTTTTATGAAATGATACAAACTCCTACAAATACAATGTGGAATCATTTATGTTGACTGAGATTGACTTCAAATGAATTCAACGTTTTTAATTTTCTGAGTTTTTATGAAAGTGGTTTAAAAGCACAAATAATCTCTCGTTTTTCTTTTTCTATTTCAATAATGTACTGTGAACTGTTTCTGAATATTACAAAGATACTATTGAATATTCCCATAATATATTTTTCATGCTGAATATATGAAACCGTCCATCAAAACGCATACAGTCCAGCAGGTCTGTTTTAAAGTCTTTATTTGGCTCCCATGTCTGCAGGATGTTACTGATCATTTTACTGTGATCTAAAGCAAATGAGGCTCGACATTTATGTTTGGATTTTACTGAGTTTTGTTGTTTGATGTTAAAAATTCTTCTGATCTTCGTTGCAGATTATATAACCACATACAGCAACCAAGCAAACTTGGCTTTGGTTGTGATTATTCCTTGTTTAAGGTAAATCTACTTCTTCTTTTTTTTTCCTTTTTGTCCATTTTTATGAATATTTGGTGCCTACAATCTGACATTTTTTCCTTGTTATCATCTGATAATGTTTTATTTCTCTTAATATGTTGAAATAAAATAAGAGTTGGTATTATTTCACTTTCACAGTCTGGTTTTCATACACACAAGCATATCTGAAATCAGCTTTTTCAAATTAGACTGTTCTCTTGAGTTTAAGAATGTATACAATGGACAAAATATGAATGCATCTGAAAGAAATGGACACGCTGTAGTATTGAACATAATTGTAATTATCTGTGCCAGGATGGTATTAAGCCAATGTGGGAAGATGACCGGAATAAGCTCGGGGGTCGATGGCTGATGACCCTCAACAAACAACAGAGGCATAACGACCTCGACCGCTACTGGATGGAAACGGTACCACCGCTGTTTTCTCCTCACAACGACTCCCTGCCATCTAACAGGATGATTTGTTTAGGAAAAGATGAATTGACTCACGTTGTCATGCTGAACCTTACAGCTCCTGTGTTTAGTTGGTGAGTCATTTGATGAGGCAAGTGAAGAGGTATGCGGAGCTGTGGTGAACGTCAGACCTAAAGGCGACAAAATATCCATCTGGACAAGCAACTGCCAAAACAGGGAAGCCATCATGACGATAGGGTAAGAAAGAAAGTCACACCAATATGCAGGACTGGTCAAAAATATTTATACCCTTTGGTCTTTTTCACATTTTCTCACAATACAACCTCAAACTTTTGTCTTTTGTGATGTTTTATGTCGTAGAACATCACAATTATTGTGATGTGGAAGAAACTGATCCTTGGGTCTCAAATCTTTTATCAAGTAAAAATCAGAAAAGTGGATGGAATATAATTATATCACACCTTATGTTGGTCTAACATGAAATCTCAGTGAAACACATTGAATTTTTTTTTTTTTTTTTGTGACTGGTGTTGTACTGCTGGATTCCTACGACCATTAGATGGTGACTGTGAGCTTCTCTTCCTTGTGTCTCTACAGGCAACTTTACAAAGAGCGTTTGAACATCCCTATAAAAGCCATGATTGGCTACCAGTCTCATGACGACACGTCCAGTAAGAGCGGCTCCACCACCAAGAACATGTACTCTGTTTGAAAACCCTTCCCCCTGTTTCAACTTGCTGTAGATTTAAACAATTACCAGTCTGCATCATCACATTAACTTTTTGAGTTGTCAACTACTATAGTGTATTTTCCTTTTATTGCAAACAAATATTGTTTAAAGTGTGTACAGTCTGAGCTTTCCCCCCACCCCTCCAACACAAGGAGTTATTAGAACCAGGCTGGCTGGAGAGTCTGCCTCAAGATGTCTTAAATGAGCAGAACATAAATAATTTCCTTTTAGAGTTGAGGAGTTGTGTGACTCGTATAGCGACCTCCCACGGCCATGCTGAGAGCGAGCTTTTTTTCAGTACTCGACTTCTTTGAGTTGGGAAAGAACCCCCCTTAACTTTTTAAGGCCTTGTGTTTTCCTCATGCTGAATTCTCCTCTAAAAAGTGTTTCTTCTCCCACAAGAAAAATTCTAGACACATTTAGTTTTTGCTTCACGGAACAAGTTTTAAGGACAGTTTTTAACTTGATTTATTCAGAGCATGAGGTGGGCTTTCAGGTGCATCAGCATGAAGAATCTACAGCATCCTAAAGTTCGGAAAAGCTGTGCTCACACTCCAAAGTGGAAGGTTTGGATTTTAAGGCCATCTGTTACTTCAGCCACGCTGGAATTATTGAATATTGCTTGTAGTATTTCTTGTTTTGTTTTCTTCCACTTACATTTATTTATAATGTATGCATTGCAGTTACTTAGTTGAAATACAAAAACGAAACTTGTTTTATTTCTCTTTGGTTACAGTTTATAGTGAGGACTACTGCATATAGATGACATTTTTTCCCTGTGTACCATACAGTAACATTGCTGACAGAAGGTGTGCTTTTCACTGTTCTCTTCCTAACAGCAACTGTAGATTATGTCGCACTCCTCAGCTGATGCGAAAGAAAGATGATATTCATTGTGAAATGACTTTGCTCATAATGTATCTTTATTATCTGTAATTCCAGGATGTATATTACTTCTTCTTTCAAGTAAAGGTTAAGTGCTTTGCATTAAACCACAACATTGTTGTCACTTTTGTGAAGAGTTTTGAGTTCTCAGTGATTCAGCATGAAACCCAATCTACCAAGATTAGTTTGCTTGTGAACAACTGCAACGAGTCCAAAAGCCTTACAATAAATTGTTTAATGGAGACTTGGTGATCGTAAGATGCCACCCTGAGCTGTAGTTTGCAAACTACTGGTACACATAAAAAAAAAAAGAAAAAAAAAAGAAAAGTATTTTGAGAAAGTTTTTGTCATTTCAGGAAGTGAATCCCATTCATACATTTATTACAGGAGTGAAATATTTGATTATATTTTTTATTTCAGGTGCTTGAAATCCTCGAAAGTGCTTGAATTGCAATTGGGTGTTTTCAAGGTTTGGAAAGTGCTTGATATACAAATTGGAAGGTCTGCTAATGTTTGATTAAAAGCCAAAATATGGAAAACATCATTTATAAATGAAACCAAATATTTATTGTAATTTAAAATGACCCAGGCATTCAGACGACAACACCTCAAAATTTCATCTCAGAAAATTTGAATATTAGAGCAATTTAAAAAATAATTTTAGGTGCACCATATGCTGAGGCAACAGACGTCAATGCTGCTCTCCTCTGTATGATTCAGGTCATTTGCTGCATGTCTTCTGTTAGCTGGACTCTTGTCCAGATACTGTTGAATAAAAATTGATGGTACCAAAATCCATCTTTAAAAAAAGCACATTTTTAATCTATGTATACTATGTAATGTCCAATTTATGGTCTACACAGTGTTTGTCGCTTCAGCCATCAAAGACTGAAGCGACAATTTACAGGTGTCCAGAAGACACACTCTCCACAAGGACATCAAACAAAAGGGTCTTGCTAAAGGAGCTGGTTGTTCAGAGTGCTGTATCCTTGCATATTTATAGAAAGTTGTCTAGAACAAAAAAAAAAAAAAAAATGTGGTGTGAAAAGGTGCAACAGGAATAAATGCAGCCTTCAGAGGTTTGTTGGGCAAAATATTTATCTAATCATCACAGCTTTGTGCAAAGACAACTATTATTGAATTTTGACGCTTCCTACAAGCTCTCATGTTACTTCATGACCTGAATGTTTTCAGCAAGACTGAGGACACTAATGTTGAAAAACAACAAATGAAGAATAGCTGAGGACCTGGTCATTATGGGTTAAGGCTAAGGAAACTCTACAGGTGAGGAGAATTTTAAATTGTTCGTGGTTTTGGGCAAATGACAAGATCACCCATGCGTTCAGGAATTCAAACACAATAAAACATTTTCAGAGATCTTAATCTAATTTTATTTGAAAGAAAAAACAAAGAAGTATATGGGAACGATAATTTAGCATTTCCAAGATGACTCCTGGTTTTATGTTTTTCCAGCATGGTCGTCCCCTTAAACTAATGAGCAAAGCAAGGACTTCACCACAATATTTACTCAACCTGGTAACTCGGTCTTGGAATACCTGATGATACAATCAGGTAATGTAATGGAAAGGACACAGACAACACCTTCTGTAAAGGAGGTGATGACGTCTGTGTGTTTTCAGTGAGAATGAATCACATAAGTCTTTGTTCAAAAACGTCACTCAGTTTAAATGTCTAGTCAAACAGGATCTTTGGTAGTTACAGGAACTCCGCCCTTCGATCCGAGAGCAGGATAGACTCCAAGAGCATCATAGTCTATCCTGTCTATCAGCACGACACACGTAATGACTTCTTAACGCTACTAAAGTGCCTAAACGTCAGGTTTGTACCGAGCTACAAGAGAAAATGTGTTTGTTGGTACACTCTGTCCACATTCTAAAGGTTATTGCACTAAAAAACACACACAGGCTTGAACCGTTTCATCAAAGCCAGATGACTTGGGTAAATAATTTCTGGTAAGTACAGTTTACACAGCTGTGAAAAATTATTCACATCCCTGTTCACATTTTGCTACGGGACAACCACAAATTTTAATGCGTTTTATTAGGGTTTTATGTGATAGACAAGCAGAAAGTACTACATAATTGAGAAGTGGAAGGAAATTGACACATGGTTTGCAAATTTGTGGCAAAGTGTGACATTTGTGTTCAGGCATTCTCGCTTTTATTCCCTACATAAAAATCCAGAGCAAGCAATTACCGCTGAAAGTCTCCCAATTAGTAAATGGAGTCCATCTGTGTGAAAGCCATTCCCAGTATAACTAAAACCTGCTCTGTGAAAGCCTTCGAGGTTCGTTAGAGAACACTAGTGAAGACCAAGCAAACACGGCAGACAGATCAGGGAGAAAAGTGGTGACTCTCATGTTCAAAACTGGAACAGATATTGCACAAAAATATGCCAATCCATCTAAATTGGCGAGTCGGGCAAGGAGACACAGCCAGTGAATGATTGTTGTACAAAGTGCCGGCTCAGTGCTTCTGAATACATTTCCACACTGCACATTTCAGATGTACTTAGTGTTGGCGTATCATATAAACTCCCGCACACACACACACAAAAAATAAAATAAAACAAAGGTTGTGGTTAATGTGATGAAAAAATTAGAAAAAGTTCTAGAGAGTGAATGATTTTGAAAGGAACTATAAGTATGTGGTTTGTTCTGTTGCTGTTAAAGTGGAAGAGTTTTCATAAATATATTACCTAAGATACAGAAATGCCCAATTTAAAGAAACCTTTTTTTCAAGTAACAGTTGAGATGATGAAACAAAAGTGAACGTAATCCAAGCCGTCAAAAACTGAAGCGATGAAATAACATAAAACGCTATTGAACCTTCAGCCAGGGTCCAGCCACTGTGGTCACTGATGTCCTACGCAGTCCTTCACTGCTGTTTGTGCTTTCCTGCTGGATCCTGGCCGCCTTATATCATGACATGGGCAATATCAAGGGCTTTTCCTCCTCGCGTTTGCTCAGCAGGTTTGAAACCATGAAGGACGAGAAGAAGAAAAACTCCACTGTGTAGGTGAGCTCAAACATCTGCAGGTTGACACTGAGGGTCCACTCGAAAACTGCGGACAGGAGGTTGTAGGTGTACTCTTCCTGGACGAAAAAAATGGTATCTGCAGGTTGTCGAGTTAAGGATCTGAAGGACAAAGTCAGATCATCACTGGAAAGATTGTTTATGGCTGAATTGATCAAGGATTAAATCTCTTTTTTATTTATATTCACTCCCTCACTGAACCGCCCCGGGGAAGGTTTCGTGCTTCCTCCTTGTGTCGTGCAAGCTGCTGTAGTCAGTCCCACTTAGTAAACACAGTTGCACCGCAGATCTGTAAAGAACTTTGAGGCTATAACTTGGGTCTCACTGCTATACTCTGCCTTCAGATATAGTTTAAAATCATCAAGTCAAATGATTGTATTAACCATGCAAATGATAAGCATTTCTTTACTAAACAAAGCTGATGTTGGCATTAGACTCTCCGAAAAGGATACAGCAGACAGTCACAGTGAACTGAACCACTGCGAAGAAGACGCGCAGAGGGAAGAGGAACCTTTCGAACCCGGTCAGGACACACTTCCCCGTCAGGGTGCAGAGCAGGATGGTGTAGAAGCAGGCACACGTGAAGCTGACAGCAGCTCCGAGGTAGTGCAGGAGAGTTGCAGCCTCCGGCTGTGGAGAGCAGTAACAGCTTTTTCATTATGAAAACACAGAAACATTCTTCTTTCATTGCAGTTAATTATTAATTCTCTACTAATGCTAGTAGTGAATCATTATTATTATTTTTTGTCCTTCTTGCTGTTCAGCTCAGTCTTTTCCTCATGATTGGAAAAGATTTCAAAAGAAGGCATGTGATTGGTTTCGGTAGTGGAAAATAGCAGATGGTTTAATGCTCCTGTCGGTAACAGACTTTCAATAACTTAGTCTGGAATCAAAAATAAAACACTGGTTTCTGTGCAATATTATAAGCTGCGTACGGGATTAAAATACGCCTCCTGTGCTGGAAATCTTTAAAAGAGTGCGTGCATAAAGCAAATAGTGACCTGCCTTTATTTGCTCTTTCAACACAGGTGTGAACTGAAACAGTTCCACATTAATATAAGTATTCATAAGATTAAATATTTTTACAATTCATCCTACTGCATAGCAGCCCCAGGGGGTTTTCTGCTCACTTTTACACCGCTGAATAATTGTAGGAAATAAAGCACCGCTTACGTTGCAGTTTCCAGCAGCAAAGGCCCCGGCGGCTGCCACCAATCCAAAGGCTAACGCCATTTTGCTCAGCATGGAGTGGCACATGTGTCTCTCCATTATGTGGGCATGATGGAATACGGTGAATAGCACAACTAAAGATGAAAACAGGATTAGCATGACACATATCGGAACATGCACCAAATCACCTTAAAAACTATTCATACCACTTTGACCTAGTTATTAAATATATGTGTATCATTTAATCTCCGTTTAAATTGAGTCGCTGTGTGAAGGCCTCGGAGGTTTGTTAGAGAACATTAGTGAACAAACAGCAACAAGGAAGACAGCAGATAAGATATAGAGTCAGTTTAGTTTAAAAAACAATATCTCAAACTCTGAATGAAACTCTGAAAACCGGTCAAGGATTTCACACCAGCAAACCTTCAACATATGGCCGTTGAAGGTTTGCAAGACGAGCAAGGAGAGCATTTGCTATCCGTAAATTTGGGTTTTAAGAAAATTCTCGAAAGAGAGCTAACAGGAAATCCGGTTAGCCGCGAACATGCAGGAAGCGGTAGACAATTTGGTCAGATGAGAAATAAAGTCAAACTTTCTGCAAATACTGTGTCCGAAAAAGAATCAGTGAACATCAATGAGAGCATGCCGTCCCCCCATGATGATACATTGTTGAGACAGCGTCAAGGGGAGGTTTTTCTTTAGTTGGGACAGAAAAGTTGGTCAGAACTGATGCCTGTTTAATTTTCCTCTCCCTTTAATTAACTTTAAGTTGAAGAACGTTATGAGTGTGAAAAATGGATGAATGACAAATGTCATGGGATGTGAATACTTTTTAAGGCACTTTACATGTGACGCACAGGCATTTTGCTGCTGAACTCACAGAGAAAGGTTCCCGCATTCATTGTTGCTGTAAACAGCGAGCTTTCTGGAGCAAAGGTGCCACTTCCACTGGAATAAAAAAATAAAAAAAAATCAAAAAATCATGTTTTATTGTTTATGTTAATGATTCTAGTCTTGGGAAGACAAAATAAGACATTAAGTCTCCTGACTTTTCACCTTATTGTAGGAACAATGCAACATTCTTTGGTCTCGTTCCCTCGGCAGACATTTTTACCACTCCTACAAGAGAAATCGAGAACTTATTAGTTAAGATTTTTTTTTTAAGTTAAAATACAAATGATACTCAACTCACCAATCACTGAGCGAACACACATGATTGTTGGAGTAGGCCATGCCATATCTGAAAAAAAAAATGCATAAGTGATCAATTTAGTTACATAATATCATGTTTGAATTCCAGCTTTAATAGGATGTAATAGTTAAATTGCTGCCAAGTAGGTTTTGTTAAGGTTTCATTAAATCATAAGCGTCTTCTTATTTCTTTTGTATCAAATTAAGACTTATTAAACCAGCTTATTCATGTATTCAGGCTATGAAAACTTTAAACCAGAGTGAATTAACAAAATATTTTGCCTCAGTAAATTTTACTGCTAGAACCAAACTCAAAGAAAGACACAATAGAGGAGGGGAAAAAAACTCACTCCACCACAACTGACTTTTAGAGTTTAATTATTATCAGAATGAATAACAAGGAAACATCTGTAGGTTTTTCTTGTTGATCCAGTGAGCACACCCTGGCACCCTAAACAAGCCGGGTCACATATTTTCATCTCGCCATCTCAAGGATACACGCAACTCACATCTGACTAAATTTGTGCCTTTGTGCTGGTTTTGTCTGATTTGGACAACTTTTTAAAGATTATACGGTGCCTCATCTGCACAGAATCATGCCGGGGTTATCTGTTACAAATGTCAGTCCTTCAACGTCTTTTTATTTTTCCTAGCCAAGAATATATAATCTGTACTGTCGTCGTGGTAACCATGACGTGGTCTTGACATGCTGCCTTTTGTGGAATCTGTCACATTATCAGCAGGAAGCTGATCAGAAGGTGAAAAACAAACAAAACTGTTGTAAACTTGCCATTTAATGCCAGTACACACAGCAGAGACAGTAAGCTGTAAAAATGAAATGTTGTCTTTTAACCAGGATGTAAAGACATTAGAGACACTGTCAATAAAGACTTACACGCTCCATGTTCCAATGAAGGACACCAGGGTTAGTGAGATGGGAAGGATGATCCAGAGCACCATGTCTCCGGGTTTAGGAAGAAGAATGAAAGTAAAAACAAGGATTCCTGATGTCTTCAACACACTCGGTGTCAGACCTCTTTAGAGGTTTGTGGATTCCTCATGGAGAGAGAGCATTAAATACCCAGGTAAAAAAAAAAAGATCACAAAACCCCTCAAAACCTCAGTGGTAAATAAATGTAATGCTCCTTTTTTTATAATAAGCAGTAACTCCGGTGTTGTTAAAGTAAGTCCTCCACAATCAAGAGCACAGTGCTGCTTTATATGAGCCTCCTTCTGTTTGTCTCTGCCACTCCTCTGAAGCACCACCTTATCCTGAGAGAAGAGCGTTGGGAAACACGGGGTTGGCCCTCTGTCTTTAACCACATTGTTTGTATCGTTTCAAAGACTCTCTGTAGGCTTTGTCATGTGGAAAGCTTTTTATTGTTACAAATGTATAAAAGTTTGGCACATGAACACCGGCTTAGGATTGTGCTGCAAAATACTAAACTTGCTCAACTTTTCCTGTAAATCAATGATGGAAGAAAGTAAAGAACAACTTTCATACATATATATATATATATATATATATATATATATATATATATATATATATATATATATATATATATATGTATGTATGAAGAGAGAGAAGAGAGAGAGAGAGAGAGAGAGAGAGATTGTGAAAACATTTTAGGCTCTGAAAACTGAAAGAAAATGAAAGCAGTAACTTATTCGGTTGTTTAATTTTCCAGGAACTTGTGGACTGTCAGGTTTTTGTGAACTTAAAAAAGAAAAAAAAAATCCTTCACAAGCCCCAATTCTCCAGATAGTTATTTCTTTCAATGATTTGTTAGCTAAACTGGGATACACAATGTGGGCCAGAATTCCTGCATGGGATTCTAAATGTTTTAAACTCATCACATTTTATATAAACTGCATGTTATGTCATGTTACATAACATGCAAGGCGTAGGTATTTATTCAGGAGTGTTGCTGTCTACATCACGACTGACCAGACAGGCAGCGGTCACATTGGATTTTTTTCATTTAATTCTTTTTGACCGTTCTCTGGAAACTCAAGAGAAGGTCGAGAGTGAAAGTTCAGCAGCTTCTGAAATACTCAGACTAAAACGTCTGGCATCAACATTGGTACAAATAAAACTTTCTGACAAGCAGTGTTTCATTTTCAATACGACCCACTTAAGCAAACCGCCGGCAGATGACAAAATTGTTAAAACAGACAATAAGCAGCACAAAACACATTAACAAACCACCTGAAAATATCAAATAAAAATAGGCGACACTAGGAATAAAGCATGAAAAACATAAAGTACAATCCATTAATGCTTACTCCATTGTCCTTAAAATGTGCTTAAAATTCTCCAGTTGAATTTAGCTGCACAATTTCAGGTCCTGTTGTTGTTAAGTGATGTAGGAAAAATGCCTTTTTTCATAATATTTAAATATTATGTAAAAGAAAAAAAGGAATTAAGTAATTAAATTTTAATAGCAGAAGATAAAATAGTTATTTCAATACAAATACTGTTATTTTAGATTTGTAATAACATTAGTAAATATTACATTGTATTATTATATAATAAACAATGTGAAAAATAAATAAAAAATGTTGCAGGTATCTTGTATCCATCTAAAAATATTTTCAACTTTGGGAGCTAGTTTTGAAAAGCTAGAGTTAAAAGATTTTCTGAGCTTTTGCATGTTGATAATACTTTAGTTTGCACTAAACTACCCAAGGTTGCCATTACTCTCAGTCTTGTGAAGTGAGTCTGAATCTCTTCCTCTATTGTTCATTTCTCAATAAAATATGAGTATTTATTTTTTTTACTATCTAAATGTAAGTACACTGCTTTTAGAGCAGCAGCGCGTGAGGTGTGCATGTTCACAACTGTATACACTTCACAGATAGGTAATAGCACTTTTTCTTTCTTATCAGAGCTCTGCACAATGAGCTGATCCAGCCCAGCTGAATTAAAGGAGTGAGATGACAGGGTTAGGGTTTTATTAGGAAGATATATAATTTGATACTATTGCTGAATACTGTAATGACCATTTCTATGATTTACCTAAAGTTTTACAGACTAGACACAACTGTTTAGCACCTGTAGGTTTAACACCTGTTAAAAACTACATTAAGTATGAAAATCAAAAGTCTAAAGCCAAATAATACTATTACAGTGTTGGCATGCATGTACCTTGAGATTCAATATTGTGCCAAATATTGCATCCAAGTTAATCTTTGTGATTGTCTCACATTAATATTGGAGTGATAATTGCAATGCCTTATTTTGTGCAGCTCTAGATGACATCGATAGATAGATAGATAGATAGATAGATAGATAGATAGATAGATAGATAGATAGATAGAATTTTTTCCTCACCAATTATTATTATTATTATTATTATTATTATTATTATTATTATTATTATTATTATTAATTAATTAATTAATTAATTCATTTATTTGTTTTTACTTGTTTACGTTTACTACCCTAGAGTGATTTTTAGTTTAAGCATATGATGACAGACTGCTCTGATCAGGCATGTGTGACTTGGACCAAATGGGGTCCTCAACTTCAAAACAAACAAAATGTCGGCGCACATCAGATGGGGACTTCAACGGTTATTACGGGCCCGAAACAAAGCTCTCTTCAGGTTTGATTTGTTTTATCTGTTTTTAATTGTGTGTTAAATGTGTTATCTAACTGATATAACTGATATAATGCGTAGCAAAGGCTTGTGTAACGCCTATCATTAGCCGCATCTTTGTACGTGTGAGATTTAGCAAGCTAACTACCTAACTACAAAGCAAACGACCGTATTAACGCGCAAATTAATTTGTGCTTATATCAGAACTGATTTAAAAATAATTTAAGACCTGTAATATCACTTTGTAACATTTATGTCATATGTTCTTGACAATCTAAATAGTTTAAGATATCGGCTAGTAGTCAGCTAGCACAGATTGTCGGGCTGAGTATGAGCAGAATTATTTTTCTAGCAGTTATTATTATTATTATTTGACCTTCTAACCTTACAACTAAAGAGTAGTCGTCGTGTATCTCAGCTAAAAAAATGTATGACAAACTTTTCACGTTTCTATCAGGCTACCAGATCGGTCACAGCCCACAGTATTGAGCTTCAGGGGAGTCCAGAGCCAGCCAGGAACAGGAACTACATACTTTTCAGGTGAGACACCACAGTCTCTGAGCTCCCCTTTATCATCCTGTCATTCAAGTGGAAAGTGTTAAACCCTACCAAGCAGCTTGTTTTGTGACGCTTTTCAGCGAGGAACCTGTCCATCCAGACTCAAGAAACTCCAAACCCAAAAAGCCTGAAATTCCTCCCAGGGAAGCCTGTTCTTGGAAGCGGTACGCAGGACTTTCCTTCTCCGAGCTCAGCTGGGTCTTCATCTTTAGCCAGGTAATGGGTCAAGGACACTGCTGTACTTTGACACACTGGTTCTAAATAGTATGCCCAAAACATAAAATGAAATAAAATAAAATAACAGAGTAATACAGTATTCAAGCTGAATCAATAATTATTCATTTCACAATTAACACTTCTAGTGACCAGCAACTGAATGAAATCTGTTTACTGTTAGAACACTAAAGCAATGATTGAAAAAAAAGGGCAAAATACAAACAGAAATTGCACTTTTTAAAATACTCCTGCAAATGCATGCAGTATATACACACATTAAGCAAAAATAGTAATCAGCTGCCTTTACTGTTCATTGGTTCTTCTTCTGCTGCCAAAATATCCCTGGCCTGTCCAGACATAGACTACTAAACCACACAATGTTTGAGAAGTTTAACCCATTTTGCTGCCATGTGTAAAGATCAAAGCAGCAGTCCAAATAAAAACACCAGAATAGTGTTTTTTGTTGATTATTGCCAGGTCATGATTTTAATGCTGTGGCTGATTGAGTATGATCATTGCTGTCCTCATTTTGACTCTGTTAGGATCATTGCCCATTACATTATAACCAGAGGGATACAGTTCTAAAGATGAAATATTATTAGAATTTGTCTAGAAAAAACACAGCAAGCTTTAGGAATGTGCGTGTTATGACTTTAATGTGTTTCTATTTTTTCTCTTTAACCAAGCGTTTGTGTCTCCTTCAGGGACCTGTTTGAAATCGAGGGAGTGAAAAGTGTGTTCTTTGGCCCTGACTTCATTACTGTCACTAAAGTAAGCACTAAATAAACAGCCCATCTCAGTGAGAGTATTGTTTGTAAGGGGGATCATACGAGTTGCTTTATTTTTACTGTCAGACGGACGAGGATGTAGAGTGGACGGACATTAAGCGGCATGTTTTAGATGCTATTTCCAAGTTCTTTGAGAGTGGGGACCCAATATCAACAGGAGCCGTGCACCGTGAAAGTAGTGAGTTTTTGTTAAAAGCCATGTCCAGACTGTGGCTTGTATGAACACTTTGACATTTTACAATATTTTATGTTTCCTTTGGAACAGCTCTTTCTGAAGATGATGATGATGTTGTATCTATGATAAAGGAGCTTCTGGACACAAGAATTAGGTACAAAAACTACCAACTTGTCACTGTCTACATGCATCTGTTTCACCCTAGTAAATCACTATGTGATTATGTAGTTATTGATGAGGAAAGAAAAAAATGTACATGCCATGCTGACAGTTTTCCGTCTGCTGTTATGACATAAAATTCTTAATCAGTGTGTCCTCCATGCATCTGCTCTGACCAACTGTGTATCTCTTCACCTCACAAAGGCCTACAGTGCAAGAGGATGGAGGCGACGTCATCTTTAAAGGCTTTGACAACGGCACTGTAAAGTTAAAGCTGGTTGGATCCTGCACAGGATGTCCCAGCTCGACGGTTACTCTGAAAAACGGAATTCAGAACATGCTGCAGTTTTATATCCCAGAAGTGGACAACGTGGAGCAGGTGCTTAACTAAATTACTTTTTTTTTTTTTTTTTTTTCCACCTGCGATTTGGGTTTGTGTCCCAGTAAAAAGCAGTTTGTACTTTTTTTTTTTAATAGTTGATACAATTGAACAATTTTTAAAAGCTATTTTATAGGCACACAAAAAGTTACTTTTTATATACATTTTTTGCAATTTTTTAAATTTGTCGAGTTGTATAGACTTCAGACAAAGAAAACATCTTAGATTATTAGTTCCTTCAAACAGATATACTTCCAAGCAAAGTTAAGTCTTCAAAAATTGTTGCAGGGGCTCGATAGACTGAATATATAGCAAATGTAATAGATATTATTATTACTGACATAAACAATCCACCTTTAACTTTATAAAGCATGGACTGTTGATGAAAATAGCTGGATAGTTATGGTAAAGTAACCTTAGCAAAAGATATCATGCCTTTCAGAAATAGACCCATTATATTACTAAAAGGTTCATTTATTTCAGTAACAGTTCATAAAGTTAAACACATTATATAATTCTTTTTTTACATTCAGAATGATGTTTTAAACTTTTATTTTTGTTACATTTTCCCACTTACAGATAATCAAAACATGACATTTAAGATTCAAATATTACATCATACAATTGGAAACGTTTTAAAAACAAAACATGGGCTTAATAAAAAGTATGTTTAATACCTTTTAATGTTATACATAAAGACAATAACAATAAAATAAATTACTTGTGATGTGGTAGTATGTGGTTAATTAGCCAGTATTTTTGCTACAGAGGAAAGCAGTAGCAATTAATTGTTCAACTCATTAGGAACAAGATATTTATTAAATTCCATGCCTTAAAATTCTTTAATGTAGTTGACCTTAAAAATAATAACTGGGACTAAATATGTGAAATAACTGTGATAAGCAATTAAGGTCTTTAGGTTTAGGTCTTATAGTGTAAGGCAACACAGTAACAATTACAATTACTAATGTTTAATCTTTTGCCTAGGTGGAAGACGAAGTGGATGAAATTAATTCAAAGGTTTTTGAAGAAGTGGAGCGTAAGCTACAAGAATAAGAACTTCAGCAACGAACAACTTGCTTATGAATTCTGTCAGAAGAGAAATATCTGTAAACATGTGAGAAAACAGTATTTCTGTTGTTGGCCATACTGGATGAAAACCATGCAGAGAGAAAATTATTTCCAGATTTTCTTTTGCATTTGAACTAAATATTCTTACTGTAATTTGCTTTCATATACTTTATGCTCCTGTTCCTAAAGAAAGATGACATACTGTATACAGAAAATGTTGTTTTTGTTGCTATAGAAAAGTTTTTTTTTTGCTGTGATTGTTTTAAATGTAGTGTTGTATTTATTTCTTATAAATATTGTACATTAAGAAAAAATATTTTGCTAAGATGATGATGATTTTGTGAAAGTTAATGACAGTGGTTTATGTCCTTAAAATTAGCCAGTTATTTGGATTTGCTCCTGCTACACACATTATAAAAGAAGGTTCAACTTTGGAAATTATTACATTGCTTAAATAAATGAATGGAGAAAAATTATTAAATTAACTATTGTGTGATAGTCGGTTTATCATATGAAACCCCAAAAGGTTATTAATATGCATTGTGTTCCACTTTGTAATTTTACTATATCACATTAAAGTTTACTTTGACTGTTTTTCTGTTGTGTCTATCACTCATCTCAGATGGTTTATTATGAAGAAAAATGAGCTGCACAGATTTTTGAAGAAAGCAGCAGACTGACTGTGAGAGCTGCAGAGTGAAGTAATACCTCTGTGACAATGAAACAGTTGATAAGAACATGAATGTAGTTTCCTCAGAATTTATTCAGACATGCTTTTGCGGTTAAATAAGGATGAAGCCTCTCCTTAGTGATCTTCTAAGCTGTGCACAGATTTTAAAATACCGCCTTTTGAGCCACCTATAGGTATTTGTATCTATTATCTATTTGCCTGCTGCTATAAAGTCAAAGTCATCAAAGGTTAAGTTGACATTTGAAGGTGAACTGACCATTTTTCTCATGTTTTCAAAACTCAAAGTGCAACCTGACTTCAGGTAATTTTCCCACTTTCCATACTGTTTGTGGAAAATTTTCCTAAACATTGGAACAATTGTCATTTAATTGTAATTTTAAAACATATCTAATATGTTGGAGGTCATACACTGAGGAATTTAACTGAGTGAAATATAAATAGTACTGTAAAGAGGATTAAGAACAAACGAACTAAGATCATCCCAAATACAGTAAATAGGTAAACCAATTTATGCTGACTTTGCCACATGGGTCAGGGTAACCTTCCTGCGCATGCGCAATTTGCATTAACAATCGCCAGAGGTACATCGGTGAGTGTTATTATAGTATTTTATTTACCCAATATTTAATTTCGCTTTCTGATCATTTATTATAGTTATCATTAAAGCGGACAAGAGGGACACTGTTGTTTTACCTCGATTTTTCGCAGTTTTAAACCTTTGTCGTTTACTGCTAACTGCCAGGGCCTCGCGCTCGTTATCGAACTAGCACGAGGCTAATATGGCAACAAAGCTAACGGTCTGGAAATGCTAGCCGTCTGTTGTGCAGTTGCAGTCTCACTGTTAAATGTGCTTTAAGCTGAATAAGGTGCGTTTGAATAATGTAAGAACAGTCATGAGAACGTAGCGTGCAAAAAGATTTAATAACATGCCAATGACTGCAACAACTGCCGCTTCAGCTTTCGCCGGACAAATGTGAGAATTCGTGCTACTTTACTTGCTAACGTTGCTCAGCTGTCAGTCCGTGGCTAATGTTAGCTAGATTGACCGTCGAGTTCGCTGCTGTGTCAGCCTCTGTTGAAATCTTAGAAAATTATTTATAAAATGTATTAAGGGTTTTCATATTTTTAGGCCATATGTGTCTAAATTATGAAAAAATAGTGCAATAAATATTATTTTGTGATTTGCCACTCGGAACCCTATTTAATTTGCGAGCTTTTTAACAGCTGCTTTGTCTGCATTGTTGCAGTAAATTATCTATGGAATTATCTATAATTTAATCGAATTTCTTTAATGCGATTGAAGTACACTTGCAGGAGAATAAAACCGTTCCGTATAATAGTCTAAATGTTTGTTTTTGTTTGTTTTTAAAAAAAATGCTGAGCCTCTCCGTTTCCCTCTGTAGTGCACTGTAAGAAGCTGTTTTCTTGTAAACAGTCTCAGTAACTGCATATATCAGGGGGTGTCTTGTGGTTAAAACCCACACCGATTGCAGTGGTGTACTACCGTCTCCACTTCCTTATGTAAATAAACTGTATTTGGCTAAATTTAATTACTGACTCTGAGGTTAACGGACCTTTTTTTACTCCAATGGCACAACATAATATTTGCAGAATTATAGATAACTAAATTTAAAACGTTGCTCACCTATACCCACAGATTTCCTTCTTGGTTATTAAAAGATAACCAAGACAGCAAATCAAAACCCACCGAAGCTACATATTGTCTTTTTTCATACTCACTACTTCCTTTTACTACAGTTTAAATTGTGTATATATTGATGTTACTAATATTAGTAAACATTAGTAAACATTCTTAGTGTTGTGTAACTACACAACACTAAGAAAAGATAAGAAAATGAATGAACATGGCATATTCTTAAATATATACTTTAAAAGTATATATTTCTTAGCTTCAGAAAAATGAGCATAAAAATGGCATAATTTGCTTTCTTTGTAACAAAATTAAATTAACAGAACAAGTTAAACAGATTTAAAAAAAAAACCTGGATGATGGTTATTTTACTTTGCTACCTTCGTTTTAATTTTATCCTTGATTTACATCAGAAATAATGGTCATGTCACCACTCTGATCTCTTGATTGAGATGCAAATTATTTTATTTAGAAAGTAATTGTGCTTTATACCATGCCAACCATTTGCTTTGGTCTTCAGTTTGTCTCGTACTTGATTTATGTTTTTCAGCAGCAAACAGAGACCTGGTAAACAGAGTCAGCCCTAACCCTGAATGAGTCATGGCCCAGTTCGGGGGACAGAAGAATCCGCCGTGGGCAACTCAGTTTGCTGCCACAGCTGTGTCTCAGCCGGGTCACTCAGGACAGTCTCTTGACCTCAACAGCCTACACTGTAAGTAAGGCAAGCCGAAGCCTCCGAGCAGATAAACGCTTGCTCATAAGTTTGTCAGAAAATGACTGAGATGTTTCACTTTGGCACATTTTGTGTCCAATAAACGGTCGGAAATTTCTTTAACTTTTTCTATCTATTGATTATAAAACATGATTGCACCAATCTGAATTAAAATTGTATATGCTTTTACCAGCAATTGGAAAGCTGATAGTTGGGTGAAGGTTTATATATTAAAACATAAACGCAAGCACTATTGGTGAACTCTTAATCGTCAGTATTGATGTACTCTAAAGGATAACAGTTTGGGTGTTGGGTGTGAAGTGGTTCTCCTTTACAGTAACATTATATATAGCGGCATGTGTCTCCTCATTATTATTATATTTATTGTTGTTTAACTCTTGCAGCCCTAGGGGTGCAACAGCCGTCTCTCCTGGGAGCGTCTCCCTCCGTGTACTCTCAGCAGTCAGCCTTGGCTGCAGCTTCTCTCAGTAACCAGTCTGCAGCAAACTATCAGCTGTCTCAGCAAACTGCTGCTTTGCAGCAGCAAGCTGCAGCGGCCGCTGCAGCAGCTCTACAGCAGGTCAGTTACAGTAGTTGTCCAGATCTCAGGCAACGATCTGTTCATCTTGTCACTGTCTCATGTAACACTTTAACCACTGGCTATGATCCTGTCATTGTTTGTAGTCACAGATCAATTCAGCACTTCAGCAGTATCAGCAGCAGCAGCAGCAACAACAGCAGCAGCAGCAGCAACAACAGCAACCTCCCCAGCAACCACCTCAACAACTGTATAATGTACCTCATCAGGTGAAGAACAGTCTTTTGTGTCACTTTTTTGAATTTCTGGACTAAGCTTTGTCTGAAGAAGAAGGTATCCTACAGTTTCTTTTTAGATTTCTTGCAGCAGCGAATTATAACTTAGCTTTGTTTTATTCATTTTGTTATGCTAACATGTAAGATCATGTATAAATAAGAGTTGTCAAAATGCAATATAAAAGACAAGACGGCTTTGCTTTAAGTTAATAAAATGATCACATTTGTCATTCCTTCTGTTCATTTCACAGCTCCCTCAACCTCAGCAGGCGCTGATCTCTCAGGTAAATCCAGAGCTTACATACCACGCAAACTGCTTTAGCGTTTTTCTTTTAATGTTTTCTGTTGTTTTTAAAGACATAGGAACACATTTATTACTATTACATGTCATTTTCTGTCCTCGTAGCAAACAATGTCTATAGAGTTGAGAGTTTTTAATAATCTCCATCTAACCTTCAGCCCCCCGTCGCATTGCCCACCAGCCTGAGTTTGTCCAACCCTCAGCAGACGGCCCAGATTACTGTGTCGTATCCAACACCGCGTTCAAGCCACCAACAGCAGACGCAGCCTCAGAAGCAGCGAGTCTTCACTGGTGTTGTCAATAAGCTACATGACACGTTTGGCTTTGTAGATGAAGATGTCTTCTTTCAGCTAAGGTGGGGAAGTGTTATTGTCAGACGGTCTGCTGCCTTGTAGAAATGAAATACTAGATGTAGTTCTATCTATTTTAAGCTACTATGATGTTACACTTTGTGTGTAAATGTCCTTTTTTTTTAAAACCTTCCATAGTGCCGTGAAAGGAAAAACTCCCCAGGTCGGTGACAGGGTCCTAGTGGAAGCTGTGTACAACCCTAACATGCCCTTCAAGTGGAACGCCCAACGCATCCAGACTTTACCTCAGCTGGCAAATCAGTCGGTGAGAGCAGTCACAGCTTTATGAGCTCCATTAGTAATTTTCATTTCAAAATGCATTTAGGTCATTCCTGCTTTGCTCTTTTTTATTTGTCTAATTTTCACGGATAACAAATGATTAAACATATACAGAAAAGTTCAATTAATTTGTTAGGTTATTACCTTTTAATTACATTCTTATTGACTTTAAATCAGATGTTGTTGCACATTATTTAAAAAAAGGGGATATAAAAACAATTTATTTGCGACTGGTTGAGTCTCTTAAGTAGTGTTTGTCTGGCTATTTGCTTAAGTTTATTTGTCTTTATTGCTCTGAGTAGATCTTGTAAAGTTTGCTGACTGTCCTCTGCAGCATGCCTGGTGTGATGAAAATGCCAGCTTATTTATTTTATTTCTAAATATCCAGAACAGGATTTTCCAGGTTCATTTTAAACTTTGGAAGACCTTAACCTTGTCTTTTATACTGCCTCACTGTTTTTCTTTCTTTTTTTTTAAATCCTTTTATCTTTCTGACCTTTTACTGTTGTGTTCTCAATCCCTCCTAGCTTCAGCAGCAGCCTCAGCCTTTACCTCAAGCTTCCCCACAGCTCGGCAGCCTTTACAATGAGCCAGGAATGCAGCTCCGCTACACAGATATGCACTCTGCTGCGGACAACAGACAAAATGTAACCATCTAGTCCCGAAACACACACTCTTGCTCACCCATTTGATTTTTGCATCCGTTTCTTGACTTTTGTTTTACCTGCAGTGTTAATGGGTGATAACAATCTTAACAGTGTTTTTTTTTTTCCATTTTGTTTCTATATTTCTCCTACAGAAGCTGCTGGTTTACTGTCATTATGGAGTGGGGGCTAATGTTTCCTCAGATGTTAATGTAAATTGTAGTCATTGTACTGCAAATGTTGCTGATGAGGAATAATTTTTGCAGGAAAAAGGTGTAAAAACAAGTCAAAGGCATGACAGTTTATAAATTCAAAGATCTCCACCGACAATTCCTCACAGTTTGAGGGATTTCAATCTGTGAAGGAAATCCTCAAGTAACTGCAACCTTGATTATTTCTATTACGTTATTTTAACATAGGTTCTTATGGATTCCACCGAGGTTTTAATTGCACAGTGGGTTAGAGTAATCAGATTACATATGCTGTTTTCTGCTCATCCTTGCCACAGTTATGCGCTGATTCAAAATACATTTAGTTCACCATAAAGCTTTACAGACCTAAAAATGACTTATTAGACCAATCTGTGTCATGTGAACAGAAACTGTTATCAACTGCATGCATTAACAGACACAAACATCATTATTTATACTTTATAAGAAAGATTGTTGTTAAACTTGCATACAATATATTCTTGTTTTTGAAGCATATCTGTGATTACTTGTACCAGGGGTTCCCAAACCATTTCTATGCCGGGGCCCCCTAAACCACTTTAGCTTAGTTAGCTTGGCCTTGAGTCCTTAGGGGTTTTTTGCAGCAGTGTCCTCCACAGCAGGACTGCTGGACGCTCCCTCCGGTTGCTTTCTTGACAGAAACATTTCAATTTCATGCTTGCTATAAGCTACCTTAAGGAGCAAAGTAGATGACATATAACATTATTTTAAGTTATATTTTATAATAATACTTTAAAAATGATTAGAATTTCTATTAAAAACAGTTCTAATCAAATATATAGAAAGAAACTATAAAAATACTTGGTGTATTTATTGCACACTAGGAAAATACATCAAACTATACACTGCACTGGTTATTGGTAGGGCTGAGAATGTGGGATGACATGGCACTTGGCATTTTTCACTGACACATTGGTGACATTTTATTTGATAAGTCGAGACCAGTGTGCATGACATGCATCACTGCAAAGAACAAAGAAATAGCTGATGTTGCCTAACAATGTGGTATAAAACGATCATAGATTCACACCTTGTTGCTAAACACAATATTGCACAGTAGGAACTGTGTTAACACCTTACAGTTCTAACACATTAGAGGTTATGCTGAACTTTAGAGGTGTGATAACTGAGACTGAGGGTAAAAATAAATAATTACCCAAATGTTCCAGTTCTGCCACATTTCTCCTTGGGTTATATTTGGGGATGATGATTTTTTTTTCAACAGAACTTAATCACTTCTGGTTAAAATCTCTCCTAAAAGGACCATTGAAAAACATTTATGCCAAGCAATGTTTTTGTTATGGTTTTAGTAGTTGTGAACACATCTGTTTTTGTTTTAATTTTTTTTTTAGCCTGTTGTCTAAAACAGGGTAAAAATAAAACAGAATAAATATCCGTACGTTTTACACCTTGGAAAAAACAGCAGATTTTACTTTTCTTTTGCTAATATTAATGTGATACTTTTTTCACAACTGCTGTGGAAAAACAAAAATCACATTCCACACTTCAGCGTTGAACTTCCTTACACTGACATCTGCAGCATTCACTTTAAAAGATAAGCATTGCTCGTTCTGCTTGGAGGTAAACCATCAAATTACAAAATGCAAAAATATTAGTTTTCATAATTATGTTTAAAGTTTAGGTTAAAGAACAAGACAGAATGAAATCTAAAGCTCTTCTTCTGTTTTAGGAAATCCTGTATGAAAAACGAGATTTCTCCAGGTCTTTGTTTCAAGCAGCCCTGTCAGACTTTCTCCCAGCTTCTGTCTTCTGAACAATCACTGATCCAGAGTCTATCTGTTTTAGCCGTTGTTTTGTGCAGTCTTTGGCAAGTTCGAGGTTCATTCTGTTCGACCTTTTTTTTTTTTTTTTTTTTAAGACATTTCTTTCCCAGATTTAAAAATCTTTTCATGTGTTTTCTTTTTTGCTCCCCTCCCTGTTTGGTGTAGAGCCAGGCTCAGGCTTCTAACATGATCAAGTCGGCCCCAACCATGCTGCAGTCGCTTCCTCCCCCAACCACGTTCAGTGTTCAAGCCCAGGCCCCCCCACCGTCCCTCCTGCAAGCCCAGCTGTCTGCTGCCTCTCTGGCCCCTCTCCTTCAGAACCCCCCTCAGCCTCTGCTCCCTCAGCCTCCAACCAAAGGTAAAATCTCATGCTTTTGGTTTAAAAATTGATGCAGATTGCTTACTTTCATTTTCAGATCTGATTTTAATTTCAGTTCGTAAAAACATTAAACCCCATAAAGAAGCTTCCTCTTTTTGTGATGTGATGAGTGTTTACCTCTGTGTCCAGACGTATTTGCTGGCGGTTTGCTTCAGCCCCCTGTGAGAATAATGCCGCAGACGCTCCGACGAATCGAGCCTCCGACTCGTTTCACCACCCGAAACGATCGGGGTCCTGAACTCATCCTCCGGACTAAGGAAGAACGCAGGTGCGATGTTGTACAGTTTGACCGCAGCTGCTGCCTCTGTCTCCACCACACGATTTAATCACTGGAGTGTTTTCATGCAATTCTTCAGCAGAGACAGAGACCGTGAGCGGAGGCGATCTAGAGAACGCTCTCCCACCCGCAAACGATCTCGAGACCGCTCCCCGAGACGGGAGCGCTCCCCCAGACGTCCACGCAGGGTGCTCCCACGCTACACGGTCCAGTTTTCCAAGTTCAGCTTAGACGGGTGAATACGATCGCTGCTTGTTGCGTTGATGCGGGAGTAGATCGAGAATACTTACCAGCGTGTCAAGAATGTGATTGCTGATGTTTCCACTGCTCTTTATTTTCTTCTTCAGCTCCAGCTGCGACTTGATGGAGCTGAGGCGGCGCTATCAGAGTCTCTACATCCCCAGTGACTTCTTTAACGCTGTTTTCACCTGGGTGGACGCCTTCCCTCTTACAAGACCCTTCCAGTTCAGTAACGCCTGTAACTTCCACATCTTGCACAAAGAAGTAGATCCTCCAGTCAAAAACACATCTGTGCTGGACCCTCCTGACGTTAACCACACCTACAGCGCAAAGGTACAATATTTACTGATAAATATGTTGACTATGTGCTGCTTTTTTAAGCTTATAAAACAGTTAATGTAACAAATATTTTAAGGTTCCTTTCTGAAGACTTTTTGTTTTTATTGAGGGGAGGGGGGTTAAAACTGTGGAACAGTTTTAATGTTATGTTCTGTCAAGAAACATCAATAACACTCAAACTTATTCAGTCTATTAATACTAGCTAAACAAATCAATCTGAAGATGGAAGACAGGGAAGCTCTTAGCTGTCTGATTGGGGTTCAGCTAGATTAATATACAGCTGTGTATTTCTGAACAAAAGAACCCAAAGTGGTGTTTGTCTTTGTTTCAGGTGATGCTGCTTGCTAACCCCAGTTTAGAGGAGCTTTACCACAAGTCGTGTGCTCTGGCCGAGGATCCCCAGGAAGTCAGAGACTCCTTCCAACATCCTGCTAGGCTCATCAAGGTACGTCAGACCCTCTCTGTGTTTTCACCACGATGTATGGAACCCTATTCCATTGCTGAGCAGCTTGTGTGGAAAAATAACGACTGATGTTGGCTCTTTGAATTTAAAAATGATTTTCCTTTGTGGTCATGGATTCTTTGAGGTATGACTATTTCTTCTACCTGCTGGCCATTTTTTGATTCTTTTTATGTCTTTATCGTCTCCGGTTTCCACTCTTTTAAACTCTTTGGCATTTTTCTCTTCCGTATTTCAGCCTAACTGTGGTGCTTTCTTTTTCCTCCCTTTTCTCCTCTCCTTCAGTTTTTGGTGGGCATGCGAGGTAAAGACGAGGCCATGGCAATCGGAGGTCATTGGTCTCCCTCTCTGGACGGGGCGGACCCAGAGAAGGACCCGTCTGTCCTCATTAAGACAGCCATACGCTGTTGCAGGGCACTCACAGGCATAGACCTTAGCCTCTGCACTCAGTGGTAAGTACTTCTCTTCTCACAACTTTCACTTTTCCCCTATTTACAATATTTAAGCTTAAGTTAGTGTAACTCTTAAATTTGATATAAATGATGCATTTAATTTTTTTTATATAAAGCTTGTTCAATATTACTTCTCTCTTTTGCATTATTATTATTCTGTAGTTAATTTGCAGTTTATTATTATTATTATTTGTTGTTGTTCATTGTCCTTCTGGGACTTGTGTGTGTTGTCTTGGCTCTCTCTGTGACATTCTGCTCATACGTTTTGTTGTGGTAAAAACCCAAACGCATGGACTTGGTGGCTGGAAGCTGTAGCCTGGAGCAGAAGACCATTACTTTCTCTTTTTATTTCATCATTTATTTTCTATTCTCCCTGTTAAATATCTTATATATTTAACTGGCTTTCAGTGTCTCTTGATTCTGTCTCTCTTTGCACAACTCTAATGTAGTGCATTAAGTGTATCCTAGGTTTAATGCAGAACGCTCATCCAGTAATTGGCTGACACTGTAACGGGGTTGAGTTTTGGGGTATTTTTATTATTTATTTATTTTTGTTATTGTCTGTTGTTGTTGTTTTCAAAATGGCTGCCGTAACCTGTGACAACAGATGAAGAGCTGCAGACTGGGTCCATTTGTCTGTGCTGAGTGTTGTGTGGGAGCCGGGTCAATGCAATGATTTCTGTGATCATTCAGTGGCCGGATGGGTTGGGGAGTAGCTGTAGAAGGCTTGCCCTAGGAAGGCTCGCCTTTGATTCTGTGCCGTGACCAGAATGTTTCTTTCCAATGCACCCTCTTCCTTTGCGACAGGTATCGTTTTGCAGAGATTCGCTATCACCGGCCGGAGGAGACACACAAGGGGCGGACAGTCCCCGCTCATGTGGAGACAGTGGTTTTGTTTCTTCCGGATGTTTGGCATTGTCTTCCTACCCGCTCAGAGTGGGAAGTGCTGTCACGGCGACTCCGGGAGCAGCTGGCTGAGAAGCTGTCGGCCGAGCGAAAGGAGGCGGATGGAGAACAGGCACTGAACCGCTAATCCTTCTCTTCTCATTTCCGCTTCTCACAGGAAGGCACAGGAATTACAAAACAGAAAACACACACACATCGCAGATACACAGCAGACAAAAAAAAGCACAGCGCACCCTACAGACACACCAGTACGAACACAGGCATTTCAATGCTCCACCAAACCTCACCTAGACTTCTTCTGTTTACTCCTCCTCCACCTGTCCCCTTTTTCCTCCGCTCGAACTCCTCCATTCCTCCATCAGCACCTCCACCTTCCCTCACATCCAGCAGACACATACAGTGGAAGCAGTGAGACTAAGTTGTGTTGTGCAGGCCCCAGTCGCAAATGGTAAAACAGCTTCCAGTTCCCTAAGCACCTTGTGATTAGGTGCTGTTCTGATGCTGCGACTCATTTTAATCTTCTGTTAACTTGGACGGCCTAACTGGGCTTTTAAAAGTTTATTTATTCATTTGTTTAATCAATTTGAACCAGCGGTCAGTTCTCAACTCTGGAACTCTTCACTTCAAAACAGGCTGGAAACTGTGGAGCCACTTGCGTGCACATAATGTTTGTTGTAGAAATGTGTATATTTATAATTTTTTGTTTTTTTGTTCTTCACATCAATTTGAATACCTTCTGACAACGAAAAGAGAATCTCCCCAAAGTCTTGTTGCTTGTCTGTTCTTATTGTTGGATTCAACGCTCTCATTTGGACTGTACATAGAACTTGGTTTTTCCAGGGCCGTATTTTGGACAGAAGTCTCCTATATGATGTAGACATGTAAAACTCCTAAGTGGGACTTCCCCAGACGTAGAGCATGTTAGGGCGACCCTATCCTCAGTTCACCTGATGTACCCACACGCCTTTTGGTCACACCTCTCATTGATTTTTGACCTTTTTTGTGTTCCACAGATTGATTGATTGGCAGCTGGGGGAAATTTCTGTTGGTTTTTTATTTTTTATTTATTTTTTTATGAGAGCTAGAGAGCTTCCCTGTGTACGCTTCAGTAGCAGTGGACTTAAACACAGCCAAGCTCACTAGAACAAGGCAGTGAAAGACAGATGAGACCTTGCTTCTTGCACGGATCAACTTTGAAAGCTTACTAAATCCATGAAATATGCGCTGACTGTTGTCCTATCTCTCCTCCTCCCCCCCTCCCGCCTTCTCTCTATTTGAATAATTTTCCATCAAGGAGGAAGAGGAAAAAGATGACGAAGAGTCTAAGGATGTCAGTATTGCCACTCACTGGACTAAACTTGACCCGAAATCAATGAAGGTAGGGTTCAAAATAAGAAGGAAATTGATTCTAGAACAACGTTTCTCACATATATTTTTATAGTTGCATGTGAATAAAAAAAAGTGTTTTGCTTAATTTTTCATTATTTTAGGTTAAATGTGCAATAAAACGAAACATACTTATGTTTGCTCCTCTCGTAGGTCAATGACCTGCGTAGAGAACTTGACTGTCGCTCTCTGAGCTCAAAGGGATTGAAATCCCAGCTCATAGCGCGTCTCACCAAGCAACTGAAGGTGGAGGAGCAGGTGGAGGAGTCGAAAGAGCCCGAGAAACCAGAAGTTAAAGTAGCAGAGGAAGAGGAGCCGCCTCGCACCGAGGACGACAAAGAGGTACTGCCTCGACTGTTCATGAGGAAGTGGTCTAAAGAAGTTTTCAGTCGTCTGGTAGCAACTTATTAATGACATCAACACATGAAAGTGTCTAAATGTTAAGCATGAGGGCAAAGCTAGCAATTTAAAATGATAGGAAAATAGTTTTGCTTCTTCGTTTCCGCAGAAGTTGAGAAAAGAAAAAAAAAATGTTTTAGTGAAGATTTTAACGTTTTAACTTATCGGAATTTTTTTTCACAAAGCCTTTGGTCATTGATGATGTGAGTAATTATTATAAATGAACATGAAACATTTATGAATATGAAGTTGTATGAAAGTTTAATATGTACTATTTTATGTATTATTATTATTTTTCTGATCATGTAAAAATGATTGTGGTATAGCTGCTCTTTCTCCATTACTTGGCTTAAATTGTACCTAAGTTTTAAAGGGTGAATATTTCTATTGCATTTTCAGTCTTTTCCAGGAAAAAAACAACAAAAAAAACACTTTTGATGTCTTTCTTTGATAGGATGATGAAAAGAAGAAGCAGGAAGAGCTTGAGCGCCAGCGGAGAGAAAGGCGCTACATCCTTCCCGATGAGCCCACCATCCTGGTGTACCCCAACTGGGCTGCCAAAAACGGCAAATTTGACTGCAGCGTCATGTCCCTCAGTGTGCTGCTGGACTACAGACTGGAGGACAATAAGGAGCATTCGTTTGAAGTAAGACTCTTTTTGCCTTTTAATGACTCAAAAGAATATTTTGGAAAAGGAGAAACTCTGATACAAAGTTGAGATAAAAGAAAACACTACAGTAATTGTAGTGTAGTTACATTTGTTTTAATAAAAGGGTGGAACGAAGACCTCCCTCCCCGCTTTTAGCATCAAGACCTCTAAGTGTAGATCGATTGGACACATGTTTACTTCTGCAGAGGCTTATTGTCCCGTTTCCTCACAGGTTTCCCTGTTTGCTGAGCTGTTCAACGAGATGCTGCAGAGAGACTTTGGCTACCGCATCTACAAAGCGCTCGCTTCTCTTCCTGCGAAGGATGAGAAGAAGGAAAAAAAGGTCAAAAGGGACGCAGACAAGAAGGATGCTGAAAAACGGGAAATTAAAAAGGAAAAAGAAGAAGAGATTGAGGAGCCAGTGGCTAAAAGGAACAAAGATGATGAGGAGGAGAAAAGAAAGGTGGGGTTTGAAAAGCTTAAAGCTTTTCTTTATCTGTTAAATGTTTAATAAGTGGCCGTGAAATCACGAGTTACGTTTTGACCCAGTATGATGACAAAACCATCAAAAAGGAGGAGTCTCGGGACGAGGATGAAAATGAAGACGAGGGCAGCACAGCCAATGCTGAAGAGTACGACCCCTTGGAGGCTGAAGATGCGGAGGACGATGACGACGACGACGATGGTAACCTACAAAGCTTTTGTTTCTGTTCTGTTTAAATGTAAAACTACTTTATTTTAATTCAGGTGTTTATTAAATTTGACCCCATTTGTTTGTTTTTCCTTTTGTAAGACAAAGACGACGAAGACTCTAACGACAGGGACAGGAGAGACCGCAGAGACGACCGCAGGTCATCGAAGGACAGATCCTCTAAAGACAAGGTTGGGCCTTCCTCCTAGCAGCCGGATCATTTCGTTACTGATGTGGGGAAACATTGTTGTTGTTCTTGTTGTTTTGTGCACCAGGAAAAGAAGCAGATGGTGACCCAGAACAGGGATCTGCTCATGGCGTTTGTCTACTTTGACCAGAGCCACTGCGGCTACTTGCTGGAGAGAGACCTGGAGGACATCCTGTACACTCTGGGTCTGCATCTTTCTCGTGCACAGGTGAACAAAAGCACAATATTTTTCAACTTTCTGGGTCTGTTGCATTATGATGCTGCCTTTTTGAAGATTTTTGTTCTTGGTTTAAGTCTCATGTTGATTTCTGTTTTTAGATCAAGAAGCTTTTGAACAAACCTGTGGTCAGAGAGTCTTGTTACTACCGAAAACTTACAGACAGGGGAAAGGATGAAGCAGCGGCCTCCCTTAATGAAGCCCATATAGAAAACCTCACAGGTGAGTCGTGTGTCTAGTGTAATAAAACAACCAAGCAGAAGCGTTTACTCATGCAAACTGTTCGTCTTCTTTTCCTGCCAGGTAACAGAGCTTTGCTTCCCAGTCCGAAGGCTCATGCTTCATCAGAGGCGAGTGAGTCTGGTAATCTGATCGTGTACAATGGAGCCATGGTCGACGTCGGCAGCATGATGCAGAAACTGGAGAAGAGCGAAAAGGCTCGAGAGGAGATAGAGCAGAAGCTTATAACTCAGGATGCCAAAATGGGTAAACAGTGGATTGTGCCTTTTTGTAGTTTTGTAGGAACCAAGCTGCACAATACCAGATTCTCTTCAGGACAATGTTTGCATACAATTTAGAATTTATTACTGATACACTAGAGATACTAGAGATAACACTGTAATCTCTAATCTCAAATTACATTGTAATTTCTGACAATAAAATGTAACTTTACAGCTTTAAAAGCAGTGAAATGATCCATATAGTTTTATTACTGGCCACATTGGGTTTAATAATAAGCATCACAACAATACTGTGGACCAGTTTAAATTGTAACGCTAAGTAAAAATACTACATTATCACTACAAACTCTAACAGGGGTCAAATCAAATAGTGTATTTCTGTCAGCCTGTCTGACAAATTATGTTGACTGTTAATTAAAATACATAACGCAGAGCAAATATAAATCTGTTTACTTGAAATGGAAACTATACAAATAAAGCCTAATTTTGCAAAACTCCTACCACTATATGGCATAAAGGTCTTCCAGCATAATCTATGAGGTGAATTTGTGGAAATAGTCTAGAGGTGAGTTTGAGAGAAATTTGAAACACAAAAAAATGCAATGCAAGGCATGATCTAATTGCCTCTACTCCAAACTTCAGACAGCAGGAGGAAACTCAATAAAAGCAACTTGAAACTGCGGGAATGGTTGAGCATAAAGTTTTAGTGGTTCTCAAACTGCAGTGTTTTTATCTAATCTCCACATTACGATGTTTCAAATTAAAGAATGCTCAGTGTTTTTTTTTTTTTTTTGTAGCCGACGGTTTAAAGTTTTGGTGGTTCTAGCGTTTTGCGTGTGAGTGAGGCATCCCAACACTGTCAGGTCTTTGTTGGGAGTCTGTAGACTTTATGACCGTTTGTCGTAACCTTAGTCACTGTGTTTGCTGTAGCTAAGAAACCATCCCATTAAAGAGCCTAGAGGTGTTTGTTTTACCGCAGCTCTCTGATAAAGATCTCTCTGAATGGGAAAAGAAATGTAACAGCCTTTACTTTATTACTGACGTAGAATATTGAGCATACAATGAACATATACGCTGTAAAAAGTTATTTACTATGAAGAACAAACTTTGCTTTTTTTCCAAAGTTTTTTTTTTATTATAATTGACTAGTGGTTCCACTTTTTCCATTTATTAACTATTGCTATTGATTAATTTCATTCTTTAAGAAAGAAACTGAAAGAATGATCATATTTTGTATATATAATAAACCTAGTTCTTTCAATCTTCATTCCTGTGCAAAAGCAAAATTTGTTTCAACTTGTTTCTTTTCAGCTTAAAAACAGCAGAAGCTGACAAAATTATCCAAATTATCCTGCGTCTTTTCTATTTTACTAAATCTGTTTTAAATTAAGCCAAATTTATATCATTTCTTGCCCTCATCCTTAAATGTGATTTTTCTTTTATTCCCAGAGGAGGATGCAAAGCTTAAAGCTCAGCTAGAACTCGCCAACAAATCCCTAAGCAAGGAGTTGGAGGAAGTGACGAGCGCGCTCAGCCGAACCGAAGAGACTCTGAGAGCCGTGAAGGAGAAAAAAACCGTCTATTACGAGCTGATGAGCAACTCTGCTAATTCCTTGATGACCACGGTCAATGGGCTTTTGGATGTACTAAAGAAGGTGTGAAGTGGTCAACGTCACGCTCTACAGGCTCACGTTTTGTGTGTCGTCTACAATAAGCTCACACGCTCCGATTGTTGTCATTTCTTTCAGGATCAAGGAGGCGATTCTGGCGAGAAGGCTGCAAGCGATTCCATTCAGACGTCGCAGACAAACGGCGCTGACGAGTAACTTCGGATAGATGAAGCCAACCTGTAATGTTGATATCAAATTGTAAATATACCCTGAAAGTGTCACTTGAATCTGTTTTAATTGAGCCTTTTTGTCTCCCAGGTATGTGTATAATTTAACTGAGAAGTTTAGATCCCCTGCTTGAAGTTTGACCCCCTTTTTTGTTGACTTTTCCCGTTGAGTCATTTTAACCAGGACAAAGCGTTGAAACGCTTATTTTCAAACTGACTTAGGTTCAGTTGCTAACATTTCGTTTTGCTGTTGCTTTAGCTTTGTCATGGCCAATGAAGTGCCGTATTGTGGATTTAAATGCCAGTATGTGTGAGTGGTACATGAGGTTTTTTTTTTGTTTGTTTGTTTTTAACAAGCAATAATGATGCTATTTATGTGCTGGATAATTCATAGAGAACTATAATGAAAATAAACTGACTGGAGGGAGAAGGTGTGGAGGAGCTTTTTGTGGTTTTGGTTAAAATTTCTCTCGCTCTCCTCTGTTTGCCCCAATTATGTTTTTAACATTCAGTTGGTGGTTTCTTCTGTTTGACTAGTTTAACAAGTTTCTGATGTTTTTTTGTTTTTTTTTAAACACGTATGGCTATGCATGGCTCCTGCCTCTCTTGGACCTTTGTTCTGACTGTATCCACCCACTGACTGCTCCGCCAGGCACAGTGCATCCTGTCTTTACTGTGACAAGCATTTGCTGATTTTATTTTATTTTTTTCTGATGAAAGGAAACGCAACATGAACCCAAAGTTAATCTCAATGAATGTGTGTTCAGCTGAAGGAATGAGCCTGAACATTTTGAAATCCATCTCTGAACTGTGTGCTGGTTTCGGTTGTTTCTAAGAAAATAAAAAAACAAAAAGAGGCTTGATTACATTTAATGTCCTCCAAAGTAGGCAATTTTATTTTTCTATTGAAGATGTACTCTTTGGATGTCTTGTGCAAGAGTAAAGTGGTCCTTTTAACACTACGTTGTGTCTGTGTGTGTGTTGTTTAACAATAAAATATAGTCTATTTAAATTTATTTTTTTGGAGGGATGAAAACAATCATTCTAAAATAATTATCAAATAAAATTGGGGCAGGAGACATTGTATCCCCTCGCCAGAAGATGGCAGCAGAGTTTACAGCCTGTGAAAAAGCAAACGACTAAAAAGCCCAGGTTTTACAAGTTATTAAAAAAAAATCACTTGCCATTTCTGAATGGTTGCCCAAATGGAGACTTTAATTAATGTTTTGGGCATCAACTATTTCCTCTCTGGTCCTTTGACATTTTTAAAGAAACGACAGTTTATCCATTATTCACTCAATGCAGCACCGATATGCAAGTCACTCAAGGAAATGGAAAACTGAACTTGTGAAATTAATTTAAACTGGAGTCAGAAACTTTTATGATCTAGTCGTTTTTGCTCCAGCTCATTTTTTTTTCTTTTAAAGGAATCTAAATTTTATACTTCTATTTGAAGGATTTACAGTCTAAACCTTGAAAAGGGATTGTAAAATTAAAAACTGGACAAAGCCCCCCCCCCCCCTTCAAAACAGTGAATGTGTTTTCTTCATCTAAAACACTGCAGACTTTACTTCCTTCATGTAATGTCGGTGTTCAAGATTCAAGAGGACGCACAAAGATGGCCGCCAGGTGAGAAAAGAAAACGCCAGACACCGAAATCATAACAAAGGCCCGTCACACATTTTGCCAAAAACATCTTGATGACTTAACACAAATATTCTGTGGCATGAGGAGACAAAAGTGAAGCTGTGTGGCCCATTTCATCAAGCTCAAAACAAAAACACATCACTTACTAGTAAACACGGTGGAGATGGTGTGATGGTGTTTAACTATGCAGCAAAACAATGAAAAATAAGTAATCTCTTGTGTTTTTCTTCATTGTTTCAGCTGCAGAAAAGGAAGCAGATTTAATAAATTTGTCTTTGCAACAAGCAGTTGTGAAAGTACCTAAACATCCCAGCTAAGTTGCTTGTGTGTTGTGTGTAAACAGCAATAGATCACCGGGTTTCGCTGCCTTATGTTTTGAGCGATTCATCGGTCAGGTTTAGGTGGCTTTACGAACCTAAAACAGTGTGCCTGTGAAAATTGTCAGGTATTAAAACTGAACTGAAAATCTGTTTTTAAAAAGCGACAAATGCTCGAACAAAAGGGTTGATTATTATTTACGCTTTGTACACCCTGTGTTTCCTTTTCTGCTGGCGTTGTAAAGCACAGGAACCTGTAGGTGCAAGGCAACGCCGAGCAATGACTGTTTATCCAGGTCTGCTGTGCCTTTGTAATAACAGAAGCCGTTTTGTGGTAATGGCTGAAATCTTTCTGCACATCCCTGAGCAGTCAACACATACTGTAGATGACCCGACGCGTATGCCTCAGAGGTTTGAGGCATATGAACTCGTTGAATGACTCGCATCCATTAAACAGGTGGTTTCCTCTGTTTAGACCAGAAATGAGACCCGAGTCTTTGTTCCTCTGTTTCTGTCTGCAAAGCTGTTATACAGATGTGAGAAAGTCTTGTGTTTGTGGTGCGTTTCTTGGTCAAAACCACATGATTCTGGTCTGCACTGGCAGAGAATATCTGGTCTTTGCCGCAGCAAAACAACCCCCTTCCCGCTCCACCCAAAACAACATATTTTCTATTTTATTGACAATAAAATTATATGTGCTAGTTATTTGTGCTCTTAGAAACAATTCAGCTGACAAAAAAAAAAAAAAAAAAAAAATTCATAATCAGCTCCAGGCTGCACAGTAAAGTGGGTGCTAGCACTTTTGCTTTTGAGCAAGGAAATCCCTGGTTTAAATCTTGGGCTGGGGTCTTTCTGCATGGACTCTGCATGTTCTCCCATTGTCCGAAAACATGCTTGTCAACTGGTCTCTCTTAAGTCTCTCTCATGAGTGAGTGTGTGTCCACGGGTCAGTCTTGTATCTATCCGCATTGCCCTACGAGGCCTGTCCATCACAGAGGAGCACAGAGCAGAGTGTTTCCTGCCTCTCGCCTGTTGATAGATAATCTTGCGTAGATAGGGAGGTATGGACCGTGGGTGTCTTCTCAAAAACAAATATACATAAAAATGTCCTCTTTTCTGCGACTTTTCAGTAGCAACAGATGCCCTTCGTAGAGCGCTAAATCCTGTCTTGTTGTCAGCAAGCAGCTACTTGCTTGTAGGCTTCACTGTTTGGTGTCGGATCACTGTTCGGTGCCACAACTTGGCCGCCTAGGACAAAAACTCTGCTCAAACTTCTTCACGAAACGCGTATCGTGACACAAAGTGTTTTCTCTGTCGTCTGACTTTTGGCCCCACATGAGAGGTTTTTAAGAGGTCAAATCATTTATCAGTAACATTGCCCGTGAGAGACATTTTGTGTGTGTGTGTGTGTGTGTGTGTGTGTGTGCGTGTGTGTGAGTAGATCCGTTTCAGATGAGGAATATCATTAATGTTGCATGTTGTCAGAAGAGGAGCAGGGAGGTTCCTGCCCGTCCGTCGGCCTCTGGCAGATCGCTTACCTTTGAAGCTTTTCTTTCCTCTGATGGGAGTTGTTGTTTATGGAAAGCCGAGTTTGTTCTCTAAGCCTTTTTGGTCACAAGGAGAAGCACACAGCTCCACCCTTTCCTCTGTAAAACAGCCCTTACATTAAAAGGCCATCGATAATTATAGCGAGCGATTTATTACGCCGTCGTATTAAAAGTAGAAAAACGGTTGAATTGCAATTTATTTGATTTGTTTTCACGGAAACTGGTTAAACTGAGATCCGGTTTTGAAATCAATGTAGTCTTTCTTCCAGAAGAATCTGTTAAAGTTGTCTTACACATGAAAATCTGAAAAGTACGGTGTGCCTTTGTCTTCCTCTACTCTGAAACTGCAGAATCTGTGAATCTGTCCAACCAGTTGTCTTCAGAAGTCACCTAATGAGTAAACAGTGTCCAGTAACCCAAGAAAAACCTTACGTACACATGAAAAGGAGCCAAGCGTTCCATGTTACTAGAGGAAGTTGCAGGACACCAAAAACTCAAGACCTGGATTTTAATAATAAAGTATTAACTCAAATGTCCTGAATAAAAACATTCTTTTCATATTTTGACTTACAGAAAAGAAAACAATTGAAAACTGGGCATAGTTTTCCTTCCATTTCACGAATGTGGAAAGCGTTGCGTTGGTCTATTTCATAAATTAGATAAAACCCGCTGGAGTTTATGGTTGTAAGTTCAATGAATATCTGTTTTATTTTTATTTGCAGCATTCCTGATAATCTTTTCTTCATAGGGACACATGTAACTTCACAAAAGAGAAACTGCACTTCCTATTGCTTCTCAACATTCTCTGAAATAATAATTTTTTCGAGGCACCGAATATTACATCTGTTCCTCTGACAACGTTGCAACACCTACCAGGGAGAAAAACATTTCCTGTGGCTTTTCCGTGTCACTTCCTGGAGAACAATAACTGTCTGCCACTGTGAACGCTCGACAAACAGGCCTCATTTGTCTCGGACGTGAACCACGCCGCGCTCCCCTCACACACACTCCCACAGCAGCTGTGTGTGATTGTTTGCTGAGTGGTCGTTCACAGGCATGCACGTGTGTGCATGTGTGAAATAAGACCCCGGCAGAGAGGACCGGCCAGGTAACCCCATGGCCAGGGAGAGACAGAAGGCTTTTGTGGCCACTTCCCCACCCCTGCCCTCTTTGACCCCTGCTGGTATCAATTGGGCCACAGGTCTGTTGACAATCAGGCCGTTTCATCGGAGGACCAAAGCTTCCTGGGATTGGGTGGGGGGTCCGGCAGTTCTGGCTCAGTAACTGATTACTGCTGGTGAAAATGAGACCTGTGGTTGTCAGAGTATGCAGCTGCGGAGCATGTGCAGACGCATTATGAGCAGAACCTGACCTAATCACAGTGTTTTACGAAAGCATTCGCAAACCTTGGACTCTTTCGCATTTTGTCCAGTGGATGGAGATTTTCTCGTTGCAACACAATCCTGAAAAGTGTGGCGTACATTTGGGTTTCTGCTCATTTTTGGAAAAATAGCTTAAACTCAGTCAGATTGCCACAATTTTTTGAATTTGATTCAAGTCTGGGAGATGATGGACCTTTCTTACATGTGAATATACTTAAACTGTCTCATTGTAGGTCTGACTGCATGACTAAGACTATCGTCTTGGTTTAGGGTGAACCTAAAACCTGATCTCAGGTCTTTTGCAGCCTCCAGCTCATTCTGGGGGATTCCACTGTAATCTGAGGCAGATTACTGTAATCTGAGGCAAGAAGGGACGTTTAGGGGCTTCCGCTGACTCTGGGTCAGCCTGGAGGTCTCGTCATAGGGGGCCACGCCTAAAAATACCTCCAAACAGAGAGACCCTTTTTTTTTTTTTTTTTGGGGGGATCAAAGTCTTTGGATCAAAGTTTTTTGGAGCTTTTTATCATTTTTACATAAACCACAAAAAACACTGACGAAGACTCACACAACAGAAATCCCTCAATTGTGCTCCGTTTCAGATATTTATTCAATAAAAATCACATCCCCCTTGATTAAAATATGTATGAAGTATGACGCAATCCACATTCCTTAGAAGAAACTCTTAAATATTTGTTAATTTAAAAAAATATATGTAATTTATACATTTTATTATTATCCAATAAATTAAAATAGTATTGACATGTCAATTATTTCAGGAACTTTATCTTCAAGTGAACCACATTATAGGAATTAAATTGACGTTTGAAAGCCTTTATTTCCGCTAATGATGATGATTTCTTGCTTACAGCTCATAAAAAAAAACAAAACATAACACATAATGTTAGAATATTGCTTCAGATAAATAAAAGACATTTTCAATACAGAAATACAGGCCTAATAAATCTAATATCTGTTTTTAGAGGTTGTTTGTTTCAAATGATACTTTTAGTCTGACAAACACAACTCATTTATTTAATATATTTATTTATTTATTTATTTACTTGATAGGGACAAGTGTGGCAATTATTAATAAACATGGCTAATTTACATTGCTTGTCTCTAGAAGTTCCTTTAATTAAACAATTATTAAAATCTGAAAGTATATTCTAATTTATTCAATATGTCCATGTATTCAGTGTTGTTAGGCTGCGGTGTACAGCGAGTATTTCATGCAGTGCCTACACTATACACAAACACACTATGCTCTACTTTTAGCTGCCACGCTGTCACAAACTCTGGAGGATATCAAAATCGTTCGCTGCTCACCCAACGTAAACCCCCTGGGATTGCGCGGTAAAAGCTGTTTGTTCGCTCTGCGTTGTTCCTGAACGGTTCCGCCTCTGTCGTCGGCCGTACTGTAAAATGTTGGCCAAAATAAAACCTGAGGTTACAGTTTCTAGAGTCAAATCGTCCCAGTTTGACTGGAGCGGAGGTCCAAAACGTTGCTTAACCTTTAAAAACCGCCCCGTGTTGTCTGCATTGTGAAGCAAAGAATTGAATTTCCTCCGCGATAAATGTAGGTCATTCAGATGACAAATGACCCAGCTTCCCCGCTTCACATCCTCTGAGATAAACCAACCTTTTCTCACCCTTTCCTGCTCCCTGAGTTTACTCAGGAATCTCTGTGACCAAAGTCAAACAAACAAGTCAACCGCCCCTCTTACGTGCTGTTTGATTTTCTAGGTAATTGATACATAATAGGCTCCATTGAAGCCACACTGCTTGTGTTCCTCAGCTTACCTGCACGGGCCCCTGAAGGAGTGGAGCAGAGGAGAGGGGGGCCCCTGTTCGGCTGGAGCTGAAGGAGCTCGGCTTGCTCGAGAGAGAGAGAGAGAGAGAGAGAGAGAGAGAGCAGCCGGGCAAGAGTAGAGGAGCTGTTGAGGAAACGATCCGGCTCTGAAAAAGCTTTTCACTGGGAATACTGGGTTACACTGTGAGAACGCTCCACGTCTGGACTTCTTCTTCTTCTTCTTTTTTTTTTTTTCCCAATGTGTCTCTGGGGAGCT